TGGCAATTAAGTCCATATAAGCACTGCATGCAGAGTGCTGGCACCAGAGTAAGACATACACAAACATGTGGATAGTGTGCTCAAATTCTGTCAGCCTTTGCCACATCTCACCCATATCCATCAGCAGCAGATGAAGGCTAACCTGACAAACACCCAATATCACCAGCAGCTGTTGTATAATTAACACAACCAGCAATTTGGCAGAGCTATGAACATCCTGACAATGGGACACGAAAGGATGAAAGGTAGAGAAACTACCAGAATAGAGGACAGGTCATAGAAAAAGAAAAAGACAGAGAGGAAGAATCACTGATAAACCACAAAAATAACAGATTTGTCAGATGCTTGGTTGCTAATAAAACCAAATTAGATCATTAAAAAAAATGAGAAAAGAAAAGGTTTGCGCTGATGAGCATTCCTCTGTTGATTTTCTGCACACACACATTTAGGTGACCAAATGTTCTTCTAACTTCTAAGCATAGTGAATGGGCCTGAAAGCATCCTGGTTAAATTATCAGTACAAAAGATGAACAAGTGTGTTAGAAAATATCTGGTTCTCTTGTTAAAAAAAGTCAAAAGTACAAGCCATGTTCATAAAAATTTAGGGAAGGACTAAGATACAAGAAAAATGTGTATGTGAGGCTAACATGGATGTAATTAACGAAACTGGGATTCACCTAGGGAAAAATACAATGAAAGCATAGTGGAAGAAACACATTTATACTATACAGATATGAGATAACCTTTCATCTGATCCTTCATGTGAAACATCCATCCACTGCCTGATTACAGATCAAGAGGCGGGTAGGTCCATAAAAGACTTCTGTGAAGGATGTTTTTGTGTGTCTTCACTCATGTCTCTTCCAGGCAGCCTCCTCGCTCCTCAGAGTAGGAATAAAAGCTTTGGGATGTCCTTTGAGATGGCAGATTGGAATGACTTCCGGGCCAAGCAAGGAATGATCGAATAAGGGAACTGGGATTTACCGCTGGTCTTTTTTCCACCCTGGCCTGTTTGGTAACAACCTCTTATTTCCCCTTGATCATGACCAAGCTTCCTGTTTGTTTTTCCCTGCAGACTACTTACCTGAGTTTTGTTGCTCCTCTGCTCTGCTCACCCCAGCTACTCTCCTGAGAGTGATTTCTTATCTTTCTTGCCTGTTAATGTCTACAAAGTGTATTCCTACAGCCTACCTGTATCTCCTCATTATTGTTCTGCCATTCCTCCCTCCTGAAAGAACTGCTGTTCTGTTAAAAGAATTACTTCCTGTGCTGCTCAAGTTGTGCCATGAAATCTCTGTTGTTGTTTTACCTACCTAGTTCACTGTGCCTCTGGTCTGCATCTGGGTCTTAAGTTCTAAAGTGTGACACTTTTGTAGTCATTTTGTATCTCTTTGTGGTCATTTGGTGCTTTGTAACTGAGCTCTGCAACTTTCAAACAAACAAACAGGGCTCAGAGGACTCTTGAATCTTGGGGCTAGGTGGCCTGTTTGGTAATCCAGCCATCATATCAATCTACAGTCAGTAAGACAGTAAGCTAAGTCCAAAATTGTCAAAGTAACGGAGCGTTAATGGGTCTCGTAACTGTAATATAATTCAAGAATTTATCGCTTACCTTAAGGTTACTCTTTATTAAGCAAAGAAATTGCATTACAGTAAGTTATTCTAATCATGTGTGCACTAAGGGTGTTGTAGGGCATCAGTATAGACTAATTCTACAGTGATTTTCTCAATCAATTAGTCATTTTGTCTTTAAAATATTAGAACGTGATACAAAAATCAACAATACTTCCTATAGTCCAAGGTTATGTCTTCAGATGTTTTGTTTGAACAAACAGTCCAAAACCTACAGATATTCAGTTTTTACTATCATGTACAAGGAAAAACAGCAGTCCTCATGTTTGTAAAGCTGGAGACAGCTGTTTGTCATCTCGCTTAAAAGTGATAAACGATTATTCAGTTTTCAGACTAATTATTCAACTGATTGTTGCAGCTCTGTGTTAACAGGATTTTAGGGCATATACAGTAGGGTATGTTAAGGCATATATTCAAGGAGCGAACACTACAGAAAGACAGTATGTGCTTCATAAGAGTGCTCGTATGCATTCTCACCCACACTAAGATACCGAACGAACACAGAAGAGCCAGAGCAGCCGTGTCTCCTCCTGCTCATCTGTGGCCTATGTTAATATGATTAGACTGGATTATGGTAATGTGCAGGGGGATCTGGTGGGTGTTGGGCGATGCTTTGCTGCTCTCGTTTCAGGGAATAGTTAATTGGTTGGGCTGCTTTGATGTTGTGGCGATGAGAGAAGGGGGTTGGTGGGAAAGGCTGGCAAAGGCACCTCGCAACTCAAATCCATTTTATTTTTGGCCTATGAAGGATCTGCATTGCCAAGTGGTGAAAAGGAATGAAACCTGATGAAACGAGAAATGATGCAAATCTGGAGCTGAACCATTGTGAATATCCACATAACGAGGATGGGAGAACCACAAGCCATATTCTCTGTCGAGTGCAGCGCGCAGAGTCAAGTGTTGATCTCTGCTCGTATAGCATTTTGTTTGTGATGTTTAAAGTTCTTAAAATCTAACACCTGTAATGTGTTTCAGTTAAAAACTGATGAGCATATTTACAGCAAATTAAAAATGTCCTCCCTCTCTGCTCTGTGAGACGTGGTGGCTTGTTGACAATGTAAGTTGATTTGGTGTCTGGAAAGTTTCTACTTTCAAGTTAAAGTCCAAAACACAGCAACAGATAATCACTTTATTTGGCCAAGTATGTTACACACACAAGGATTTTGTTCAGAACCGAGGCAGCCATTTGCGGCTCACACCAATGGCTCTAACCATCTGGGGCAACTTGAGGTTCAGTGTCTTGTCCAAAGATACTTTAACAGGCAGGCTGCAGGCACTGAGACTCGAACAGCCAACCGAACCACAGTTGCCATGATGTGGCTGTCTTTAAAGGATAGGATTCAAACCCACAGATGCAGAGCACAATGGATTAGCTGTCCATCATCTTAACCACTCAGCCACTTTGTCCCCTAATCATACAGTAGTTTCCAATTTAGAAATAGCAACATAAAAAGACCCAATACTGGACATGGCTCCAGAAACCTCCTAGGCGCCCCACGGCCTAAATTTGTTGCTGTGTACCTACTGACCCCCACTACACATGGCAGTGTAATTATTTTCCCATGAACCCAGAAACCAATAGGTATTCGAGAGCAGAAATGATTAGTTGGCAGAAAATTAATCCACTTCTGACCCAAAGGTCACTGGTTCAATCCCCGGACCCTCAGGATCAAATCTAGAGAGTGAGAGAGGTGACAAAGCAGCACTTGCCTCACCCTCATTAACATCACTGTGGTGCCCTTGAGCAAGGCCCTTAACCCCAACTACTCCAGTGGAGCTGCTCAGGAGCTACAGGTCAGTCTGAGGTTGTATTGGGCAAAATCCAGCATCACTCATTTGATCATGGATCTGTTTTGTGCTGTACAAAGAACAGGGAGTGTGATAAGTAAAAATCTTGCAATTTTATTTGCATATAAAGGCAGCTAAATATATATCACAATAAACTGAAAGAGAACTAACAATTGCATGAAGAGGGATACAATCAGAGAAAAAGCGAGAGAGGAACGGAGCACGAAAAGAGCATTTACAGCAGCCAAGTTGAGACAACTAGCGGCAACATTTTTTTGTGCTAGCAAGATTGCATTGACACAGTGCAAAATTAGAAAAAAAGCAATAAACACATACTATCAGATTTACACTTTAAAGGACAACTTAATGTTTAGGCAGGTGTGTTGTTGGGAACAACCAGCACCTGATGGATTGTGACAGAATTTCCTCTCTCATCCCAAATGAACATCTACCCTACTAGGAGAGTCGATACAAAAACATTAAAGAAAACAGAAGTGTCTGATGGGAGCATTCAAGAAAGGTGTCAGTCATACAGGTGCAAATACAAAGAAATGCACCAGATTTTCTTTTTTTGTCAAACACTACTTTTAGTACAGATGTTTTTACAACATGAATATATAATATATATATTTTATACATACATTTTCCAAATTAGATCAGAAATCCATAATGGGATGTTACAAAGTTAATTTCAGACTGTAGTTCGATAGCTTTCTGTCCCTGCGTTAGTCAGGTGGTATTTTACTGGGATGTGGGTAATAAATAAAGACTGGGGCTCTAGCTGAGAACATTAAAGCTAGTTTAAGGCAGCATCCCTGTCAGCCAATAAGAAAATAGGAAGTGACCAGAAAAAACAAAAACAAAGACCTAAACACAAAATATCAGATGATACGACATAAAACAATGGCATCCATTGTCTGTCCAACGCAAACCAAACTTAAGGAAATTGTACAAATTCACAAAGCATCATTTATCTTACAGATCTGACCAATTTTATCAAGAGCAGGATTGTTAAACCACAAAACCACAAAAAAAAGGAGAATACCGGCATCAGACTCACTCATTTTAACATCCCCTTTAATTTCGCACTGCATGCTGTCACTATTGAGACTTTCTTGCTTGGTTTTTATTTTTAAAAGACAAACTTTCCAAATTAAATGGAGCAGAAAAAAGGGATCCCAAAATGATTTAGTATTTTCTGATAATAAAGACTGTATTTGTCTGTAAAACTGAAAACTAGGCTACTATATTGAAAACCATCACTATTGCTCTCATTTCGACATTCTGCACTTAAGCAACACATTTTGTGGGTTATTTCCTGGATATCAGGAGGCTGACAGAAAGTTCAGTGTGACCTAGAAACGTGCAACTCGACATGATGAATTAAGGACAAAACAAAGTTTCTTCATGGATAGATTTGAGTGGGAACCCAGCACTGTTGGCACAAAAAAAAAAACACCGGTATTCTCCTTTAACCCTCTCAGACAAACTCCCACCCCAACCTATGTCTCCAAATCTCCTCATTATCAACAACAGCTTGGAGAGGACCAAAAGTTGGCAAAGAAACACTTAATGTTTTTTTTTTTTTTTTTAACTTGATGTATTTATAGAAAAAAAGTAGTTTATCCTGCCCTGGACCCTCCTCACCCCCAGCCTCTGGTCTCAGGAGCTGGAGGGGTTGGGCAGGTCGAACACGATAGGGGGGTTGGTGGGCTGGAAGCTGACAGTGCAAGTTGATGCGTTGATGAACGTCGTTTTTATCTGTCATGATCCCGTAGCCTGAGTACAGAGGACACAGGCATCAGCAACAAGCAGCACTCACTTCAACACCTCAACATCAAGATCCAACACTACGCAGCTATGAGGGAGGGTCTTTGGCCAGCTGTTGCCCAAGTAATTTATTTGTGTGTTCAATATAATTATTTTGTTTGCTTTAGTAATTTACTTCATTTACACAAAAACCTAGTGTTATTTTTATAACCTACACAGCTTGCACTTAATGCAGCTTAATTTTGATTTAGAGCTGAAATGTGTGTGTAATTTAGCTTTTCAAACATGGTTAATAAAAATTCGGCTTCAAGGTTCTAAAGGGCATCAGAGCTAAAGATGGATGTCCAATAATTTGATGTAATATATATTTTTAAAGTCATTTGAAGGTAGAAGTTTAGGGAACAAAAGAAGTTACGAAGTGCAGGAAAAAGTCATTTCTGAGAATTACCTGTTATTTCAGGGCATGAATTACTGATCCATAGAAACCATTTATCTAAACTGTTCTCCCTGTACAAAATGACATATTTCCAGTGAAACACCATCAGACTTTACATTATTCCTTGGTCAATGATTCGTTTTTA